GCAGAGCATCCTCCAGCGTCTCCGGGAGACACTCTGGGACTCGCAGCCATGAGTCGCTCAGCGCCACACACTTCCTCTCCACAGGAACAGATCCGAGTGGTTGTTTGACCGCGGTCCTATGGGGGGAACCATGTCAATAAATTTTAAAGACAAATACTCAGATGCATGGCGGGTACAATTTGCTTTCCCCGATCACGGTGTCCCACGCTGGCTCCTGAGGACCACGTGCCTGGGACTAGAGGCCCAGATGCTATGTGTCCTGTCAGTCTCCAAGTTCCTCCTCTCCCAGCCTCCTTCATTCGGTTCGGTTCCCAGGTACCAGTATCCGGCAGCCCCCGGGGGCACCCCAGCCGCTGGCAGAGGGCGTGCTCTCTGGCCTGACGCGCCAGACCATGGCGGGGGCCACCGTCACAGAACCATATGTTTTAGCCACTTCAGTGTGTGAGTGGCATGGAGGGAAGAATCGTGTCACGCTAGGGACACAGGCAAAGAGGGGAAACGTATTCTCTAGACCAGGGGTCGGCAAACTGCGCCTCACAGGCCACATGCGGCTCTTTATTCCGTCTCAAAAGTTTGCCGACCCCTGGAAGAGCCAGTCCTGTCCCTCACAGCAATTTAAAAATTATTCGAAAGCCATAAATATATTTTTACATAATCACCATTATGTGAATAACATCCTTTAAAAATTTTATAAATGAAACTATGATAGTTTTATTTTCACTTTCAATTTTACTTCAGAGCCACAGTTCACGAGCTGCAGTTTGCTGACCCTGGCGGCTCTTCTGTCTCAAAAGTTTGCCGACCCCTGTTATAGAACATCCATGGGTTCCAGAAATTAGAATGTGGATTTTTGGGGAGGGGGGAAATATTCTGCCCAACACATCTAGTATCTGTCAAAGTAATATTTTTGGGAAATACTTAGTCACATATGGAAAAANATTGGTAGGATTCTATGGGCAAAAATGTAAATTGCTGTAACTTCTCATGAAAGCAATTTGGCAATATGTATCAAGAGTTTAAAATACATGTATGTGCAAAGACTTTTAATAATAGCCCCAACCTAGAAACCCAAATGCCCGTCCACAGTAGAATGGGCAAATCAACAGTGGTGTCCTCACACTGGAGTATTACACAGTAATGAAGATGAACAAGTTACAGTCCTTGGCAGAGTGATGGCAGCAAAGTGCAAGACAGGAGCCAGACCCCGAGGACGTGTACTGTGATTCCATGCATGGAAAGGGGCGGGCAGGCTGACCTGACCTGTGCGGTGGGACGCAGGGCAGTGGTTACACATGGTGAGGGTCGGGGGTAGTGATTAGAAAGGAGACCACGGCCCCAGAGGGCTACACATGCCTGTTTGCCGGCCTGGGTGCTCATTATATGGTGTGTCTGTGTGGAAATGACTGAGTTGTACACCTAGATGTGTGTACTTTTCTACCTGTACGTTATACTTCAAGACAGGCTTTTAAATATGGGTGTGTACAAGGCAGCATCTCAGGTTAATGTCTATGATTAAGAAATTAGACACTAATATGACAGTAGTCAAGGAAATAGATAATTATATTAGGGCACGTATATATGCTTATTCAGGCATCCAAGTCACATTTCACAGAATATAAAATAATAGAGGAAAATGCTTACAATATATTAAACTAAAAAAAAAAGGCAGGACTGAAAACTAGATATAAAACAACTCACATTTTATTTTCCTCTTTATAAATATTCATTATAATTTACTGGACAAAAGACACCAGAATGTTAACTGGTCATTTCTGAATGGTAGAAATTAGAGATTTTTAAATTTTTCTACTTCCCTATACTTATCAGATTTCCTACGATGAGTATATTACTTTTATGATCAGATGGAAAGAAATGGGCAGTTGTTGGGAAACAGAAAGCAAACACAGTCGATCTCGTGTTATTTGTTCATTCCTGTTCCTTCTAGAACTTCAGTATGAAGAGGCACTCGGGAGATTCTGGAGTCTTTAAATTCATTCCTCCAGGTTAATCTGGGGGAGAACCCATTTTTCTTTCTCATGGTCTGCCATTTTGTATTAAAGCGCTAAGACAATTTACAAGTAGCATTTTGCAATAAAGCATAAACATTTTAGGGGGTTGTGGGGCCTTTTGGTCACTTTAATGTTAGGACTGTTTGTAGTTGAAATGGAGTGGGCAGGAGCGTTTTCAGAAATCACACGTAGGTGTGCTCTCAGTGGCCAGTCGGGCCCAGTGGTCATGAACCTGTAATGACGAGCCTCTTTGTAGACCGAGCTGGGACGCTGTTTCCATACACAGTGAGTAGTAGACACTCTGTGCGTTTTGATTTTAGCATGTACAAGCCATTTCCAGAAAGTGCCAAGACACATGCTGCTTTTTGTCTCTCTCTATTGTGGTCTTGAAATTTTTGCAAAATCACACCTTTCCTTTGCCAGGTGGAAGGCACTGGAGATCGGCACTTGTGGAAAAAGTGGTTTCCATGAGTTTACTGTGTTTTATTTCAGGCATTTTACAGATATAGTAAATTTCCGATTCCATTCTTTTCTAAACTACACTAGCATTTTGTTTGTTTGTTTGTTTGTTTGTTTTCAGTTAAGGCAAAGTATAAAATGAACCAGGGAGAAAAGAAAATTATTTAAAATGAAGCCACCAGCATCCATCAGGAGTTAGGAGAGCAACGTCTCGGAGCCTGAGTGCCATGTGTCGTGAACACAGCATGCATCTTGCTTGTATAAATTGTGTGGCGTTCAAGTGACTTTAAATTTGTGAGACTCTGTGTTGTTCTGCACCCTTCCTTGCTTAGGAGACTACCTGGGCGGAGAGGCATACTGGGCCGGCGGCCTGCACCTGTACACCCCGCTACCTTTCCGGCCAGGCCAGGGCGGCTTCGGGGACCTTTTCAGAACACACTTTTTTCTCAACGCAGGAAACCTCTGCAACCTCAACTATGGTAAAACTTGGACTATTTAGAAACTGTTATGGTACAGTTCACTCTATGTTTAAAGGCTCAGAATCCAAATAGGTGTCTATGTTCTTAGGTTACGTAGGGACTTTCAATTTAGGGACTACACCTTCCTGAAAACAATTCCTACATCACCTGGTACAGTGCCCAGAATAAAGTTGTTGGTTGAATGAATGAAGCATCATCGAATTGTCTTGCATAGAACAATTTATTTATTCGTTTGCTCAGCAGACATTTCCTGAGCACCTACTCTCTGCCGGTCATTAAGGCCACAGAGCTGAGCATGATTTGGTCCCGTCCTTGAGCTCAGGGCCAGAGGGGACTCAATGGCAGATGCATCCAGCTAGGGCGATGTGAAGAGGTGTCTGGGATGCTTCACAGAAGACAAGGCCCTCGCACCGAGGCTTGGAGTAGGGATCCTGGGTGGCCAGGGAATGGAGAAATGCCATTTGGGCAAACGAACAGAATGTGTCAGCCCCAAAGACTTGAGAAGGCTTGGCTTCTTCTGGGACAGTGACAAGCAAGTGTGGTCCCCAACTCTCTCGATTTTGGCCCTAATCCCACTTCATGCATTCTCCTGGAATATCTAGGCTTGGCTTTAAAAGTTGCCAAAAGGGCACACGGCAAGTGAGAGGACCAGGGCTTGCTCGAGGACAGCTCTGAAAGGACAGGGGCCAAACACTGTTGGTCACACCCTGCTTTCTCTTTGCAGGGGAGGGCCCCAAAGCTCATATCCGTAAACTGGCTGAGTGCATCCGCTGGTCTTACGGTGCTGGAATCGTCCTCAGACTTGGCAACATTGCCCGGCTGGAACTTAACTACTGCGTCCCCATGGGCGTGCAGAGTGGCGACAGGTAGGTGCTGGAGGTTCTCCACAGGTCCCATTGCACTTTCTCATAATTTTATTTTGTTTTGGACATGTTACTTATTTCATTGGTGGCCTTTTAAAATTCAAGATTTTAGGAGAAATTGAGCGTTAGCTAAAGAAGGAAAATCCATGTATTTTCCTCCATTGAGTTTTTCTGTGTCCAGTTTGGAGGACAAACTGATATGTTACCATCTCCCACCTCACAGGTGGTTCGCACTTATTGTTGCCAAGCTGTGGGAGCTCCTCGAGGTCTGGCTGGAAGACTTGACAAGGCATTCTTGATCCCACTGGCTGAACACAGAGCCAGGTGTTGCCAGTGGGGGGCTGCAAGCCAGGAGCTCAGAGGCCGGAGCGGGCAGAGCTCTGTTCTGGCCGCAGAGCACTTGTTCTCCAGAGCCTTCTCTCGGCTCAGAGGAACCTGTCGCCTTGGCCCTGCTCCACCTACCATTTTACTGAGCAAGGTTTGATAAATAGTGCATGGATGACTATAGTATGAGGCCATTTA